CAAGCCATACATTTCCTGAAAGCTCAGGAGCAGTAGAATAAAAAGGTGGTGCTACTAATTTTGTAGGTCCCACGACAGTTGAGTAAATGTTTATCAAATTAATATTTTCGATAAAAATACACTAGAATAATTATCAACACACACAAAAAAGAAACAGAATTGACAAGATTCCTACTAAATCTAAAAGATAAAAAAACTGTATTGAGTTAATAAATAACAAATGTGTTAATTTTAGATTGTGCCCTTTTGCGAAATGGTAAAAACCCCCCACAAAACTGTAAAAAAGCAACTTATACAAAAAATCTGTGTTGTGGTAACACCTGATCTGCAGTACTGTTTGTTTGTGTGTGTGTGTTGTGATAAAATGATGCAGGCATTTATTTAATCGCTCTGCCATGCACCAGTGGCGTCACAAGGGGGGTGCGGCCCGCACTCGGGTGACACCATTGGAGGGGTGACACCAAAATGACTTGGTCATTTTAGTGTCACCCCCCTCTGAAAAGTCGGGCGCTTGGTCATGGACCGAACACCCGACAGTATCAGGAGAGAGGAGGGGACCGGCGGCATACCTTATCCCGCCGGGTGACTGCCCCCCTTCTCTTTCTGCCGGCGTCAATCACCAAGATGGCCGCCAGCAGGTATCAGAATACTGCCGCGCGTGCGCGATGATGTCACGCGCATGCGCAGTGACGTCTCGGCGGGGTGACACTCGGTTACCGCTCCGGGTGTCGCCCAGCCTCGGGACGCCCCTGCATGCTCTGTACTGAGTGGTCCTGTTCATTCATAAACTGAGGATCGTAAGTGATTACCATGTCCCCAATCATGAATGAACAGGAAGTGATATAGAGCACGTCCTGTTCATTCATAACTAGGGACGTATTAATCCCTTACTATGTCCTCTGTTTTTTAAAAACATGGAGTTATCAGTGCTGAACACTCTGTGTTTTGGTTCTGTACAGAGAGGGATTGATAAATTCACATATTTACCAATCCTCCTCCCTCCATTCTGACTACAGCCCTGGAGAGCAGCAGGGATGGGAGGGGACACAGACCACAGCATGCAGCCGGCTCCCAGCCGAAAGAAGAGATCTGCAGAGCAGCAATATGTGAGGACTCGACTGCCTGTTGCCGAGCGCAGGCCTTCCTGCTGACCAAATGGGGCCTGGGCCCAGTGCGGGAGGGGCGGCTGTGCCCCGATATCAGCGGCCAGGCTCTCATGTCACTAACGGTATGCCTTTTCTAATTTCATATATTATAATGTTTATATGTAGCTAAACAATGTATTAACCCTTTCAGGTTACATCACTTCCTGTTCATTCATGAATTTCTCAATGGGGAGAAGCACTCAGTACAGAGGCTCCTCCTCATTCAGAACCTGGTGATAGTAAATATTTTACTATCATCAGGTTCTGAATGAATGGGAAGCCTCTGTACTGAGTATCCCATTCATTGAGTGCTGAGGCTGCAGAAAAAGAAATTGAGGACTTTGTGTCCTCAATTTCTTTTCTATTTTAAAAGGGAAATGTCCGGGGTCTTTTTAGTCCCCTAGTATTTTCCAGAAGCCCCCCCC